ATACAAAAATCAGTCAATGTAATACACTATATTAACAGAATGAAGGGGAAAAAACACAAAGCCACTTGAACTGATGCAAAAGAAGCATCTGACAAAATAAAAATCCTTTCCTAATAATTTTTAAAACCCCACTCAACCAAGAATAGAAGGAAATTACCATGACACAATAAAAGGTATTTATGAAAAGCCTGCAGCTAACCTCACTCTAACAATGAAAGATAGAAAGCTTTTTCTCTATGACTGGAAATAAGACAAGAAGGCCAGATTTTGCCCATTCTGTTTTTTTATAGTACTGGAAGTCCTAGCCAGAACAATTAGGCCAAGAAAATAAATAAAGAGCAATCAAAATGCAAAGTAATTGGTAAATTATCAGTGCTCATAAACACAATCTTATATGATGAAAATCCTAAAGATATCTCCACCAATACACACATGTACACACAGTTGGAACTAATATATGTATTAATAAATATTGTAGATACAAAATCAACACACAAAAAATAAGATTACTTATATATACCAACAATAAATAGTCCAGAAGGGAAATTTTTAAAAATTCCATTTGCAATAGCATCAAAAAGAACAAAATACTTAGGAATAAATTTAAACAAAGACAGGAAATACTTGTACACAGGGAACTATAAAATATTGCTGAAAGAAATCAAAGAACAGGAAAATAAATGAAAATAAATCCTATATTGATTGGAAGACAATATGAAGACAAGGTTAAGATAGCAATACTGACCAATGAATCTATAGATCTAATGCAATGTCTATCAATATCCTGCTGATATTTTTTGCAGAACCACAAAAATTAATCTAAAAATTCATATGGAAGCATAGGGAATCCTATGTAACCATAGCAATCTTTAAAAAGAACAAAGTTAGTCTCACGCTTCCTAACTACAAAGCTATAGTAGTTAACACAGTGTGGTACTTATGTAAAGACAGACATATAGACCAACAGGATAGAACAGAGAGCCCCCTCCCCCAAAATATCCTCATATAAATGGCCAAAAGATTTTCAACAAGGGTTATGTTGAAAGTGGTTTATATGTTTAAAAATGGTTAAGGTTGGGGGCCAGCGCTGTGGTGTAGCGGGTAAAGCCACCGCCTGCAGTGCCAGCATCCCATATGGGCACCGGTTTGAGTCCCGGCTACTGCACTTCCAATCCATCCCTCTGCTATGGCTTGGGAAAGCAGTGGAAGGTGGCTCAAGTCCTCAGGCCCCTGCACCCACATGGGAGACCCGGAGGAAGCTCCTGGCTTCCTGGCTTTGGATCAGCACATCTCCAGCTGTTGCAACCAATTGGGGAATGAACTAAAGGATGGAGGACCTCTTTCTCTCTCTCTCTCTGCCTCTCCTTCTCTCTATGTAACTCTGACTTTCAGATAAATAAATACATCTTGAAAAAAAATTGGTTAATGTTGTTAACACAAAAGGCTTGAGTGATTAACATAAATTTTATATAATGTATATTTAATGACAATTAAACAAAAATTAAAAATAATTAAATAAATAAATAAAATAAATTTAAAAAATTAAAAATAATTAAAATATATATGAGACTCAAACATTACTGGGAAAGAAGATATGTATATAAAGATGCTCCTGTATTTGCAAAATCAGGGATAAATGTGTCAAAGAATATGTACCAAACTGTTAATATTATGTCTGGAATATTAGTTTGGGAAGGTATGTGTGCCTGTTGGAGGAGGGCGAAGAATATTAACTTTTCTTTACATGCCTCCGTACTGCTTGACTTCTTACAATGTGTATCCATTACTAGCACATATTTCTACTTTGGCAGTCAGAAGACAAAATGCAAGCAAAAGTCACTAAAGACTTCAGTTGTTGATAAGAGTATGTGCACGATGACAGAAGGGATGCCCACTGGCCAGAGCTCTAAGGACCCTGTGACCTGTAAAAACCGATCATAGAAAGGCACACGCTGTTTGGAGTTGATGAATCAGTTGACAGCTCATGTCTCTCCAGGTGTGGACAATTGTTTATGAAATCATGATCATGACTGAATGACCACTGAGGAAGAAAACATTCGGTTCAGGTAAACTCTGCCTAAGTTACCAAAGGACATAGATGACAAAGTGACCAGGGTAGTGCTTGGCCAAGAGGCGCTGCCACGTTGACTTCCCTGATGTGCCTTCACTTAGGCCACAGGGCAAGGAAGAAACATAATGAGAGTTAATTGAATAATGAGCAAAGTCTGCAGGCTATTGAGATGCTATTTATAATTTTCTAAACAACTCGGAGATCAACCAATCAGAGATGGACTTTGCAACTGACATCAAGGGAAGATGCTAAATGTTAGGTAAGTATGAAGCTCTACGGCATGTATATAAGGCCAGGTGTGGAAGGTGCAGCCACAGCTCAGAAACTTCTCTCGACAACACACACCTCACCTCAACTCCTGACACCATGGCCTGCCTTGCCACCAGCTTCTGTGGATTTCCCAGCTGCTCCACCAGTGGGACCTGCGGCTCCAGCTGTGGCCAGCCCAGCTGCTGCCAACCCAGCTGCTGCCAGCCAACCTGCCCCCAGCCCAGCTGCTGCGAGCCAATCTGCCCCCAGCCCAGCTGCTGCCAGCCAATCTGCCCCCAGACCAGCTGCTGCGGAACCAGCTGTGGCCAGGAGGGTGGCTCTGGATCTGTGATCTGCCGCACCCGGTGGTGCCGCCCTGACTGCCGCGTGGAGGGCACCTGCGTGCCCCCCTGCTGTGTGGTGAGCTGCACTCCCCCCACCTGCTGCCAGCTGCACCACGCCCAGGCCTCCTGCTGCCGCCCATCCTACTGTGGACAGTCCTGCTGCCGCCCCTCCTGCTGCTGCCACTGCTGCGAGCCCACCTGCTAAAAGTCAGGTTGCTGCTTAGGAATGAAAGGGCAAGCACAGAACAACCATGCTGATCTCTAAAAAAGGTCCAATTTTGCCTGGATGTGAAGTATTCTGAGGTTGCTAAGCCACTCGGAAACAATGAAACTCTTAGAAGCCCTGTGGAAGTGTCAGCCAGCCTGTCCTGGAGACCCCGCCTCGCTGGAGCATGGCACCGGGATGAGCAGTTCTTCACGTCAGGGCCATCTGTGCTACCTTCCCAGTCTCTCCACCCTCCGACTCTTCAGACCTACCTTCTCCTGGAATACCCCTTGATAATTTCAAATAAAATGCTTTAATGTGCAAAGCAAACTGCCTTATGTCCTCCTTCCACCCGCAGGCTGGTTGACCGGTACCTGGAATGCTAGAATGGGTCTGCCTTTTGATAACCGTCCTAGGCATAAACATAGAGTCTAAACCAGAAAGATTAGATAAAAATTTTGTATGACTGAATCTACCTTTTAATAAAATGCCCCTTGCATTAAATAGTCTGCATAGCTAATACAATACTTACATACTCCAATCTATTATGATTAGGTGTAAACCAATAACGCCACCTTTGTGAAGTTAAATTTTCATGTGGATCAAAGCTAGGAATTCCTATCTAAAGCTACCGCTATCTCTAATCTCTTTCCATTCAATATTCTAGACGTACTCCTTCATTCATACCCACTATAAAGAAATTGTATTATCACTAAATAGGTATTTTAAGCATCCACCACATACTATTTTCCAAGAGCATTTGGGTTTAATTTCTATGCTTTGGTCTGGCACATTCTTCCCACTGATCCCCAAATGGCTCTCTAAGCTTCAACCTCCAATATTCACATCCATTCACTATTCACATGCGCTAGGCGTATCTGGGCTAACTGAGCAGTGAAGGGCTAGAGAGGGCACCCAGTGAGTTCTCCCATCACCCTTTGTCAGAGAGGTGCACTCAAAATCTGGAAGAGCTGTGTCACAGAGTGCACTTCACAACCCAACCAGAGAGTTGTTCTCTTAAGAAGTTAACACACATCTAGAACAAAAATATTGCTTTTATCGTTTAATTTTGAAATTCTTCATGAATGGTTGAAGTATAATATAGCATAAAATAGCATATAAATACAGGACACTTTAGGAAAAATATTTCCGAAGTATTTACAAGGTTCTGGCACTTACCTCTGTCATTTAATTAGTTGCACTGACGAGTCACAGACAAGGTGATACATTCCAGAAAGGAATTAAGTAGAAGGCAGCATGCTCTTCAAAATGCCATAACTCCCCGATGTCATTTGTTTTTTCTGAGTCTTGGTTCAACCATTAAATCCAAAAAAGAACAACAGAGCATTTTCTGGTCTCTTTTGACAACAAACAGCAAGGCCCCTTCATGAGAAGCTGTGCAGCCTGCCAGCTGCATTTCCTCGTTTATGAGCGGTACAGGCATCCCACAAACCACGCCTTTGACTCCACCCATTCGGCAAACAATGATTGAATCACATTCAATAAACATTGAGTGAGGTTTTACCCAAAGCTCAGTTCTCTGCTGGATACCTTCCTACATGCTATGCCATTTGGTCCACAAGAAAAGGCTTCTGGCCTGCAACATGTTACTATTTACACACCTCAAATTGGTTGAAGTCAAAGGAACTGCAAGGAGAGTTTGACTGGAGGTTGGACTAAATGAGGTGGAAGCTTTGATTTACGCACGACCAAAGGTACTCCCTCCATTCAGTGAAATATCTTGATGTCCTAAATCCAAAGGAATTCAGTCTATATTTTCAAGAGGAAAAAAAATAATAGTTTAAAAATAGCAGCACTAGCCTTAGCAGTCGGGATAGTCACGTGGAATAACTACTATGCAAAATGAGGGCGTTGACTTGAACTAAAATGGGGAGACTCTTTGAACATGGGAAACCACAAGCATATTCTAAAGAGCAAAAGGTTGAATGATGAGCCCAATGAAATGACAAAACAAAGCCATTTCCAGTCTGCTGCTCATGGTGCGTCATAAGCACTTCAATGTAAGCCAATCAGAGGATCACCGAGGGAAAAATTTAAATAAAAGCAAGAAAAATATGTTAAGAATTTTACAAAGAGCAGCCATTTCAGATATATAAAAGGCCCAACGTGGCAGTCACTATCCAAAACTCAGAAACTCCTCCAAGCAGCCCCTGGCTCAGCTCAACTCCGGTCACCATGGCCTGCCTTGCCACCAGCTTCTGTGGATTCCCCAGCTGCTCCACCGGTGGGACCTGCGGCTCCAGCTGTGGCCAGCCCAGCTGCTGTGAGACCAGCTACTTCCAGCCAAGCTGCTGTGGAAGCAGCTTTGGCATTGGAGGTGGCATTGGCTGTGGCCAGGAGGGTGGCTCTGGATCTGTGATCTGCCGCACCCGGTGGTGCCGCCCTGACTGCCGCGTGGAGGGCACCTGCGTGCCCCCCTGCTGTGTGGTGAGCTGCACTCCCCCCACCTGCTGCCAGCTGCACCACGCCCAGGCCTCCTGCTGCCGCCCATCCTACTGTGGACAGTCCTGCTGCCGCCCTGCCTGCTGCTGCTACTGCTGTGAGCCCACCTGCTAAAAGTCAGGTTGCTGATTCTCCACTGCCCAGGACACAGTATCTCTGAGCTGTTCATCTATCTCTTTGACCATCTGGGACCACTATAAGTTCTTGGGCTTCTATTGGTTTTCTGCTAAGGGTGCCATCAAGTAAATGAGCTCATATTTCCCTCTGATTCCATTTTACAATGAATACCCTGACCTTCCACTGTGGACACGGAAGTGCTGCCAGTCCACTTGCTAATCATCAAATTGCTCTGGAAATACTACTTCTGATATTTCGCAGAATCAAAAATTACTGACAAGCTTTGGATTTTTTTCCTGTGAGAACCACACACAGGTCTAACTTTTTCCCTGCTTTGTAATATATATTTATCTTCTGTTCACCTAAATTTTTTCAACATTCAAAGGCACCAGAGTATTGCTAAATGACATTACTCAGATGTCACAAGAGAGAATCTTCACCCAAGATTCAGCTTCTAAGAAGTAGGCTGGACTTCTCCACCTGCCAACATCTGATCCACCCCTTAATCTCTGGATCATAATCACCCGGCCTGCTGGCTGTTTCATTGTGTCTTGATACAGTGCCTTCTGACATTTTTAAATAAATGTTATATACTGGGCAAAGAAACCATGCTTTGTGTTTATTTCTTATTGTACATCAAGTGATTTAACTGCCCATAATTCAAGAATGTATACTTAAAAGAAATGTGTTTGTTTCTGTTTTAGAGAGACTAATGTCATACATAGCTCATTCATTCATTCAATAAAAAGTACTATTTCTCCTAAAGCAGGGACACAGAAAATGAGAAAGATGAAGAATTAATTCTTGTCTCTGAGGACATTAGTTAATGCCATTGATGTTAAGAAAAAAAGGTATGGTAAAAACACATGCACAAAATGTGACAAGATAAATTGTGTCCCCATAGCAGTTGGCTGAATTCACCTTGAGAGGAACAGGTGCCACTTTGGGCAGCAGCCTACTTAGGCCAACTGAAAGGAAAAACATGCTCATGGGGCACACGTGTGGGTGTCCCAAAAGCCTAAGAGAAGAATGTGGAACAACTACCTGTGAGACAAAGAGAGAAATAGTTTTGCTCTAAAAAGAGAGTGAGAAAAAAAGCAGAGATGAGTGATATGAGCAGACCTCTAAAAGTTCATGCAAAGATGGAATTAAAAGATAAAAATAAAAAACATAACTTTTATTTCTCAACATCAATGGCATTAAGTTGAAGATAATTTTTTAAGTGGTGGTCATTTAGTCTAAACTTAAAGAACTGAGGTTTCTGGGGATATAACCATGCCAACGCTATGTTTTTTATATTATTAACTAAGAAAAAATGAGTACCTTTTAAATACTTTTTAACATTAGAAAACAAAAAGAAGTAAGAAGAAGCCAAGCTGGGACTATGAAGTCGACTTCCCACTGATATTCTCGCAAGATTGCCCTCTGTGTAGATGAAGCATAAACGGGAACATCGTCTACTGGAGAAGGACTCTCTAGTGAAGCTTTCCAAGTGTTTTCCTGCCAGAGCTCTGGGAAACTTTCTCAAAACGTTCTCATAACAAGCAGATGTTACGATTCTTTGGTCCTCCAGAAAGTCAACTATATCTTGAGCTTCCCCCAATCACTGTGGCCATGACCTTTGCTCTTGACTGGACACTTTGGCTTTGGACACGTCCATGTCTTGGTCATCACTGCTTTAATCATACTTTGCCTTCAGGATCACAAATCCACGTTTCATCTCCTGTTCCAGTCTGTCACTCCTCAGGACCTTGATTCCACTTGTTGACAATCCCCATTGAAAGCTCTGCTCTTGTCTGGCTGATCTGGGTACAAGCGTTTTGTCACTTGTGGAGCAGAAAGTTTGCTGCACTTCTTTGGTCAGAACTGTGAAAGTTGAACCATCTGGGGCAGCTCTGGTTTCCGCTGTGAACCATTGGTCCTCTGCAATGAGGGCACGAGCGAGATTGACTTTTCCCCTCCAAATGGTGCGGGTGGTCTGCCGCTGTGGGCTTCACCTTCAACATCACCTTCTCCCTCCTTAAAATGAGTCATCCATTTGTAAACTGCCGAGTTCTTTGGAGCGTTCGCTCAATGACTTTTCATAAAGCATCCATGATTTTACCATCCTTCCACTCAAGCTTCACCGTAAGTTTGATGTTTGTTCTTGCTTCACGTTTACAGAATCCATGTTCCTCTGACAGGAACTCTTTTCAAACTGACTTCTGACCCTTCTTTGTGCCTCCACCTAGATCCTGTTCAGACATGTCACAAATAAGCACGAGTTCAATTGGATGCAAAAAAAATGAAATTTACACATAAAAATGGGTTCTGTGGCGTAAGGGTGAACACTCTGGACTCTGAAATTCATTCACAGTTCTTCCAAATATGTGTTTTCTGTGAACCTTTTGGAGACCTCTCATATAGGTCATGAATATTCCCTCCCGCTATTTTAACAAACTCACACAGTCCTTGGGGTAACTTTCCTGAGAAAACCGGTAAAGAAACTGCATTTGATGTCTAGGTTTCTTCACAGGAAAACAAAAGAAGGCAACCCAGGAGCCTGACAGAGAAGGAGAACAAAAAAAAAGTAATATATCCAGAACTTGAATAAGTTGCGGAGTAGTTTTACATTGTCAGTGCTGTGGAAACTGACATCAGGGTTATATGGACAAGAAGAAGACAAAATAGCCAGAAACAGAGTTTTAAATGGATGAGACCGTTTCACTTCAGGACCAGCACAAAGCTTCACAAGGGAGGTAAACGTCGAGGTAGGCCTTGACGGGTCACTACAAATGGGAAGAACAGAAAGAGTCCAATTACATCTATTAGGGTGGGTGAATTCAAAGCAATGGTAACATCCAACATCCAATGCTAGTTAAATATAGAGAAACAGTAACTCCCATCCCTGGCTGGTGGGAATATAAAATCATACAGCCACTTAGACACTCTAGCACTTTCTAACAAAGATAAACATAGGTTTACTATACAATCCAGAAATTGTGCTCCTGAGTATCTACCTAAGTGAGCTGAAAAATTAAATTCACACAAAACCTGCGCATGAGCATTTGTTTGGCCACCAAACTGATATTGCCTCAACTGAAACACTAAATGTAAGTGTATGGGTTGCATAATTGAAAAGCCAGTTGGATTCACAGCTTCCACAAAGCTCTATGGTAAAAGTTTGGTTGGGGTTGATAAGAAAGAAGTGGGGTACTGAGACTTAGAACTGGTTGGATTCAAAGTACACTGGGAATCCCAGCTCTCTCAGACACACTCTGAGTTCCCTTTCCCATAGAAATACATTTCCCTTCTGTGTTTGATGAGAACAGTTGACCACTGATGGAAAAAATTCTCTAATAACTTCACTTGCTTGTAAAGACTACCCATTGTCTTCAGGAGCCATCACACTACCCTATGTACTACCAGTTCCATATCTAGGACTGAACTTCAGGTGACCCATGAGGAAATAGTTCTTACATCAAAAAGTCATGTGATAGGCCAAAATCTAGAACATCGTCAACATCAAATGCTAGCAAGAATAAGAATAATATCATCCACTTTGGAACACAATTTTGTGGTTTCTTTCAAAGCCAAACATACTTTTATTGTATGACCCAGCAAGCATGCTCCTTGGTCTTTACCTCAAGGAGTTAAAAACTTATCTACACATAAAAACCTGCATGTAGATGTTTATAGCAGTTCTATCCATAATTGCTGAAACCTGGAGGAAACCAAAATGTCCTTCAGAAGGTGAATGGGTAAGCAAACTATAATGCATCCTGATAAATAAATATTAACGAATGCTGAGAACTGCATGCCGTTCTGGAATAAACAAAACTGTCCCATGGGTTGGGAGAAAGAAGAGAGGAACAAGCAGAGGGAAGAGTATTTCTAGGGCAGTGAAACTTCTCTGTATGACACTTGGTAGACACACATCTGTACATATCTGACCTGCAACCTCCTGCTGGGCCTCTCCCCTCAGTGCAGGTGCATTGCAGGGAAGTTTTCAACACATGAGCTTCAGGGGACACATGACAGTTGTGAACTTGAAACTGCTCTTAAGAAGTAAAGTCTCCTTTTAAAACATGAAATATTGTATTACTATACATTAACAAAAACCTGGGGAATATATGTGTGAGAATATATGTGTGAGAGTACATTTTTAGGGTATTAAACAAAGGAAGATGGAATATAACACTGTCATAATTTACTGAAATGGTCACACTTAACAGATTCTGGAGGTAGAATCTTTGTACAAAGAATTCCTTGGTTTGTTGAGCGTAACTTGATACAACAGAGGGACAAAGGATTAAACCCATAATCAGGATATTGTCTTTATACTTGGTATAAGTTATAGCACCAGTGTGGGTTCAAAATAAACATTTAAATCACTGCACAAGGGAAAGAACCCCAACTAACTGAAATACTGGCTGAGGGCAAAGGAACCATGAAATGGGTATTAACAGAAGAGAACGAAACATTTAAACCAAAGCCTCATGACCAATTACAGGAACAAAAATTACAGAAATTATGCATATTTTCTTCCTTGTTTTTCTCCTTTTCTCCTTCCTTTTTAAAGTATCACATGCTGTACGCAGGCTGACCAAACTTCATATAAACCTAATTCTACTTAATACATCAATACTATGAAATACATTTGATGTTGATTTTATAGATGAGAAAGTCCAACCTAAAAGAGCTTAGTTTGTCTATAGTCGCATAGCTCATGGAAAACACACACACACACACACACACACACACACACACAGGAATTCATCTCTGATCCCCAAACTCATGAAGAGAGGGATTTATGGAACTAGAAGAATGGTGTGGAAAGGCTCAGCAGACAATCAAAGTTTAGACCTGATAGCACTTGATTGAGAAAACAGGAAGATTTCTCAACATTTAGCTCCGTGGGTAAGAAAGCTCCAGCATTTCTGTCAAAAGCCTTCCAGGAGAGTGAGCTATGGCAGAGAGGCCCTTTACAAATTACCGACCTATCCACAAAACCATAATTTTACTTAAGAAACTGTTTATTTTCCATTTTGATCCATCTATTACATATCCATAGGTAAAAGTAGCTTTTTAAAAGCCCCTATTTGAGCCCATAAAGTGATTTTGAGAAACTTGAAGGGGAAAATGTTGCATCATCACATGAACTAAACAACAAAAGGTTTGGGTAAGTCTGGTGATTTATGAGTCAAATAAAATTGTTCCTGTGAGGTTGAGAGAGACCAGTCCAGAACAGCCAGTATGAGTCCCTGTTGGGCCTATTCATTACAAGGCACATTCTCTTTCCTTCTTTGTTCAGGGTTGATATGCTACGTGACCCTAAAATACAAATTCAGTTTTCAATGGGCTACTATTTAAATGACAACATTTCAAGACTTTCGCTTTCTTAAATTTTAAATAGAGTATTTTAGTTGGACACAATAAACCAAATCTTTTCCCAACACAATCAGAAGAATCTTGGTCTGAACGGAGCTGGAGTAAAGAGTTAGAACTATCTCATCTATAAGATAGCATGCACTTGCTCAAAATACAAGATGTGTGTACTCGGTGTAAGATATTATAGTGGGTTTATATTTATTGTGCAATGATAGTGAAGGAACTTAGAATGTTCG